TCTGTTCCCCGCCTGCAACCCACTGGTTGCGCTCAGGGGCCCCACACCTCTGGGGTCCCTATGAGGCCTCCTCCAACCCCTACAGCCTCACCCAAGCCTCCGGTGTAATATCAAAGCCAAACATAAACTAGAGCCTCCTGGCTGCAACACAAACCTAAAGCCTCCTGGCTAAACCATAGTGCCCAATCCTCTCAGGGCTATAGTGAGCTGTACTTGCAAGTCAGGCTTCTTCCCATATCTCGGCCGAGGGAGCTCCTTCCTCTCCGGTTGCTGGCAGAGAACTGACAGCCTGGTCTCGGCCCTGGACTCTATAAGGGCCAGGCCCTGCCTCCTACAGGCAGCTGGCTCTCCTTAGTTGCCCCGGCAACCCGCAGCTGTGCCCGTTACCCTGGCAACCCTCATCTGGGCTCGTTATGTCCTGCCAGGGCTCTCTCTCCCTGGCAGTTTCTACTCCCTAGGAGCAGAGCACCGAGGTGCTCTGCGACAGGCATGATAAAACAAGCAATAAGCCACAAAATTATTCCAGAAACAATGAGGAATAACTTTGTGGTTTGTTCTTATCATGCCATTAATTGAACATATGGCCAGGTATTTCCCTGTGGTTGGGAGTCCTTTCAACTGAGGGGCTCCCAGCCACAGTGATGCACCACCTGCTCCCAGCCCCACAGCTCAGGAGGCTGATAGCAGTGGTAGCATTTGTGGCGGGCCAGTAAGGGGCACTCCTGCGTTGAGCCACCCACCTCCCTGCACCCGACCACCTTCCAAGCTCTGAGTGCCTCCCTGGGGCGCCTCACGTCTGGCCGACCCCCTTCCTGGAGCACACCCGCTAGCCTGGGGCCCACCCCCCAGAGCTCTGGACTTAATTCTGGCTCTGCGGACTCTGGGAAACACAGGCCTAGTAGTCCACAAGTGTACTTCATTCACTTCCAGAACTTGGGATGCTTCCCTCAGTCAGAAGCACAAGTAGTGATCTCCCTTAGTCAGCCGATCCAAGGGGACCCCAAGGCATAATCTAGACCTACTCCCAATAAGTCTCCCATACTAGGTACAAAGGAGAACTTTATTGGTTACAAAGGGTAGGGTTAGAATAGGGTACAGGGTAGAGCAATATCAGAGAAATCCCATTGAGCAAACTCTTGTGGCTGGGGGAGCCTTTGATCTCGCATCTGAGTTACTGCAAGCTATATATCTAGTTAGATCTCAGGGAGCTTACTCACAAGTATCATCCAGAGGCAGGTGGAGAATCCCTCTGGAGGCAGGCAGTTCCTTGATCATGAGTTTTGAGAGAGAGCGCAAGTTTCAGATGGTACAGCTCTTCTTTGTTCCTGAGTATCCCTCATGGCTGCTGCCTCCTCCTCCTGGGCAGTCCTTAACTTATATAGCCCTTGTGACCTCATTTACCTGGTCCAATGGAGGCCAGCACCTGTTGGCTGTCAGCCAACCAATTTGACATACGTCACTAGTTGCCAGGCAGACTCTAGCCCAACAGGAAGGAAGCCCCTCACTCAGGTATGTGATACTAGTCACGTAGGCAGAGAGAGCAGGTTTCCTCCCTCCCTCAGGAATGTATCTAGCTCATTTTACCTAAAGAGATAGGGTAAGGATGTCTCTCTCTGCTGGGCCCATCCTAATCACAATTGTTACATAGCAGAGTGTTTGGGGGAGAAGTAAAGGTGGCTTTCTGCCACAGCATTCCCCATGCTGTCTTCGCAGTCCAGCAACTGCTCCCCATGAGCCCTGTCAGCTGCGGAGTTCACAGCAGGGGCAGCACACGGAATGCTGCAAACCCTGCAGTGTTATCTGAACGTCTAGAGGAGCCCTGAGACGCACTTATCGGGGCACTTACCCTAATGACCTGACTGTTCATGCTGTATAGGTTTTCTTCATTCACAATGATCTTAAAATTTTTGATGAATTTGTAAACTTGAGCTTTCAAGTCATGTGGTTACAGTTCTGACTATGTGATGCGTGAGTTTACCAACTATATGTAATTACTACTTAAGTACAACTTTGTTGTTTAGGAATCCTTTACAGAACATTTTGAATGTAAACTAGTAACCCAAGAAAGCTAGATTTTACTGTAAATTAATAGGCTAACATTTCATTACTAAAAATCTGGATTTAAAAATGAAAAATAGATTTCATAGTCTCATCTCAAACCACCACATCACTTTTCATATTTCAGCATAATTAGTAATCTCTGATTAAGTTCTTAATCCAATTACTATTCCCATCGATTTCAATGAAGGGTATAAAACTGGAACATTATGCAGTTTCACAAATCATGTCGAAGTGCACTAGCAGAGATTTATATAGTATTTCCATCACACCCAGTCACACACCCAGTCTGTGCTAGAAAAAAAAATTCACACACTTCATGTCCTTTTTTAAGGTTTCATTTTATTACATGAAGGCTTCAGCAGTGTCCAGACAGATGCACTTTATCTAACAGGGAAAAGTCAGTCAGTTTTAATATTTTATACTAAAAAATTTTCATAATAAAATATGTGTACTAGTCTAATCTAGGTCCCAGTTGCACCTTTTATACTTGCTAGTACAGGGGGAGCCTGGGATCATTATGTCTGCAGCCCAGCCTGACTTGATTCAGTCCCAGGGCTGAACTGAATGCCACACATTAAATGTAAAGTGCCATGCACACCAGTCACGTGGAAAATGATTTGCCATTTTAAAGGACCTTAAATTCATAGATTCATAGCTATTAGGGTCAGAAGAGACCTCAGCAGATCATCAAGTCTGACTGGGGGCAGGAAAGAACGCTGGGGTCAGATGACCCCAGCCAGGTGCTTGTCCAGTACACATTGTGGAAGAAATCAAACTTCGCATTGTGGTTGTATCAGAATTGACAGAGTTGTCTTGGTTTATTTAGAGCTATACAAGTGATCACAAGGAGGGTTCTCAAAGGAACTCTGAACTTTATAAGTTTACAAGCGTATTTATACTTTAGACAGTGAGAAAAGATGCATGGTTCAGACAGAGCAACTTTGAAGAAACAGGAAGAAGTTGATCATTCATTTGTCACACGTAGGCAGTTTACTTATTCAGTAAACACATTGTGTTTTGGGAACAGCTATCAGTTTCTGGTTCCTGGAAAGGAGGAGGCTAACATCTGCACACACAGATTAATATATCAAGACAAAACAAGGCATGAAGGTTTTTTCTTATCTTAGAACATTTTGAATCACATATCATCAGCATCTTTCTCTGCTCTTTCTTTCTCTTTGTCTCACTTCTCAGTCAAGTAAGAGACCTGGTTAAACTTATTTCTACATTCCCCCCTTTTGGGTCTTTTTGGCTCAACATGTTAGATATTTATAGCTATGAGTTTGTTTTGGCTAACTGGATACGTGGAAAGGGAGCAGGATCAGAAGAGGGAGGAAGACGTTGGGAAAAGGTTTGATTTGATTAAATCTTTGGCACTCACTGTAGTTGTGCTGTGGGTCATACATATCACAAAACTTGGTCCAATTAAGGGATAAAGCAATCATGGGCACTCCTGTCATTGTACTAGGAGGTAAGTGGGAACATGCCTAACATTTAGAAACATTTCAATTCTTTGCATATTGATAAGACAGTTGAAGAAAAGCATTTTGGTGAGCATGCGAGTGGGAGTGATCTTTTTGACCTGTTTTGAAGTCTAGTCTGATTTACAAAGTTTTTTTTAGTTGGTGAGTCTTTAAGTTCATATAAGATGATCTAAAAGGAAAGACTGAGAAGTACCCAAGTCACGACTAACTAACCCCACCTTGGGAACCAAGAACTAGGTAGAGGCCTTTTTTTCTTTCCCGAAGGGCATAGTGGTGTCGTTGGGGTACATTTTTTTTACTCTGTAGTGGCAAATCCTTTTCGCCAGTAGGCACTTGGTTTACTACTGGTTTTGAGTTCTCCTGTTGGCAGGCACTAGGCTCACTACTTGTCTGTGGAGGCTGATTACAAGGTTGATATGGAGGAGACTCTGGGTCTAATGGGGCTGATTTTCTTACTGTGTGAAGCGTGGATCTACGTT